GCGTTTCCCTTTAGAGAAATCTCAAGACCCCGACACCGGAGTGAACTCTTTACAGAATCACGAGTGTAGCGAAAGCAGCTATTTCACCTTGGAAGTGAAAACCGGAGACGATGGTGTGAAATATCCGGACTTACTATTGGTGAAATCTTTGGATCGGGAACAGCAGGCTGTTCATAATTTAATCCTGACAGCCACAGACAGCGGGAGTCCTGTGAAATCGGGATCGACGGCAATCTAAATCATTGTGTTAAATGGAAACGACAATGCTCCGAAATTTACTCAACCCGTTTATAAGGTGACTGTGAGGGAAGATGTGGCCGTGGGAAGTCGAGTGTTACAGGTGACAGCGAATGACAGAGAATAGGGGCCAAACGCCGAAGTGAAGTATTCCTTCTTTAAAATCTCAGAGAAGTTCGACAAGACTTTTAAGATAGATCCGGAAAGTGGAGAAATTGAGCTAACACAGAAGCTGAATTTCGAGGAACAAGAGTTTTACGAATTGGATTTGCACGCTCGGGACACAGGCGGACTCTTGTCCCACAGCAAAGTTCTCATCACAGTTGCTGATGTAAACAACCACATCCCCGCAATTGTCATTATGTCCGTGTTCAGTGCAGTACCAGAAGATACACCGCTGGGGACGGTCATTGCAATTTTCAGCGTTCAAGACAGGGACACAGGAGTGAATGGCGAGGTGCGGTGCAGCGTCACCGAGAGCCTCCCGTTCCGTCTGGAGAAGAGCTTTGAGGACTACTACCGCGTGGTGACGGCGCGGGAGCTGGACCGCGAGGAGGTGTCGGAGTACAACGTGACGGTGCGGGCGGCGGACGGCGGGTCGCCGCCGCTGCGGAGCAGCGCGGTGCTGGCGCTGCGGGTGCTGGACGTGAACGACAACGCGCCGGTGTTCGCGGAGGCGCGGTACAGCGCGCGGGTGCCCGAGAACAACGCGGCGGGCGCGCTGCTGCTGAGGGTGCGGGCGCGGGACGCGGACTGGGGCGCGAACGCGCGCGTGCGGTACCGGCTGTGGGAGGGGCGGGTGCGGGGCGCGCCGCTGTCGTCGTACGTGTCGGTGCAGGCGGAGACGGGCGCGCTGTACGCGCTGCGCTCCTTCGACTACGAGGAGGTGCGCGAGGTGGGGCTGTGGGTGGGGGCGGAGGACGGCGGCGCGCCGGCGCTGAGCAGCAACGTGTCGGTGCGGCTGGAGATCGTGGACGAGAACGACAACGCGCCGCAGGTGCTGTACCCGCCGCCGGCGCCAGCGGGCTCGGGCTCGGGCTCGGGCTGGGGCTCGGTGTCGGGGTGGTGGTCGGGCGTGGAGCTGTGGCCGCGGTCGGCGGAGCCCGGGTCGCTGGTGGCCAAGGTGGTGGCGGTGGACGCGGACGCGGGTCAGAACGCGTGGCTGTCGTACGAGCTGGCCAAGGCGACGGAGCCGGGTCTGTTCCGCGTGGGGCTGCACAGCGGCGAGGTGCGGACGGCGCGGTTGCCGCTGGCCCGCGACGCGGCGCGGCAGAGCCTGGTGGTGGTGGTGAAGGACCACGGGCGGCCGGCGCTGTCGGCCACGGCCACGCTGAGGGTGGTGCTGGGCGAGAGCGTGGCCGAGCTGCTGTCGGAGCTGGGCAGCGCGGCGGCGGCGGCGCCGGGCGAGCCGGGCGGCAGCCTGACGCGCTGGCTGGTGCTGGCCGTGGCGGCCGTCTCCTGCCTCTTCCTCGCCTTCCTGCTGCTGCTGCTGGCGCTGCGCCTGCGCCGCTGGCGCCGCTCGCAGCTGCCGGCGGCGGGCAGCGGCGCCTTGCGCGGCGTCCCGGCCTCGCACTTCGTGGGCATCGACGGCGTCCGCGCCTTCCTGCGCTCCTACTCGCACGAGGTCTCGCTCACCGCCGACTCGCGCAAGAGCCAGCTGCGCTTCTCGGGCGGCAGCTGCTGCGACACCCTGCCGGCCCGCCCGCCGGCTGAGTCTTCAGGTGATTTTATTCCTACGGGAGATCAAGTTAGCCAAGTTTCCTTTCAGGTACGTTAGTTCCTTTTAACCTTGTTTTGTTTACAGGGTGTACTGAATTCTTGCGGTATCCACAGACATCTCAAAGTGCATGTTTTACAGTCCTGTAAACATATTACGATGGTGGCTGGCTTGTAATTGTCACCTCCTGAACATGTACTGAGTCTGCTGCTTGTGTTTTATGTGGCATGTTCTGTACCTGCTGGGAAGAGCTCGTCTTATCCAGCTGTCTCTAAGGCTGGAAGATTCCATTGGATGTACATCTGCCCAAGGAGACTTCGGTCTCTAAGTCTTCCTCTGACACTTCCTTAATTTTTATAAGTACCCAGTTCCCAGAATTTCATTGCCATACTCTGTATTAACTTGCAAATGCTGGTTGAATTGCGCAACCTTGTACCAGAAAGTTAACATCTTTGAAGTCCTGTGTTACTTGGAAATCTGCCTTCAACAAACGAATTAACCAGTCCCACATCAGGACACCCAAACTTCTACAAATAGTTTCGCATTACATGGAGAAAGTGTTCTCTGATATTCCATCGATTTTTTTCCCACTGCTGGGCTTCGTGATTTAACATTTGGATTCGATATAAATGTAATTGTCGTTTAGTGTACAGTCATAGACAGCAAAATAAAGTATATTTACTAGAATACAGATGGGGAAAAAATTAACATAAAGTACAATTCATCACAATCTGTTTATCCTACGCCTAATTTCAGAACATAAGTTAACCTCAGAATATAAAATATTTTACTCGTCGGTTTCCTTATAATATGAAAACATTTTTTTCCTGCCGAACACGCCATTCTATTTTGAAAGCACATCTACCAAACAGGCTGTCTTGGAAGAGGCCTGCCTGATTTCCTCCATTACTGACCTTTCATCTTGGACTGAACAGGTTTTAGGACTTCAGGAATATAATTGAAAATAATAATGTTACCCTACTATTTATTATTCAGCTATTTAAGCCGGTGATACATTTTATCGTTTCATTTTAAACAAAATAAACTAGTGGCTCATAAAAATGGCTGTTTTCAAGTTGAGAGAAAATAATGCTGGAAGGTTCCCACTGTAGGTCTGCACAGGTGTTTGGGGTTTTTTTGTGCTGATCCTACATCTTGCCAAAATGCTCTGACTTTGTACTGGTGTGTACTATGTGTGGTGGGAATGTAAGCTGAGGTACAATCTTCTGTTTCACATGAACTAACGGTGTGATCGTTACCCTTTTCTGCTGCCATCCATCAGACACAAATTCACATGCATGTGTGCTTCCCTTTCTGATGCAGGCTGGTTCTTAGCTGTGTCCTCTTGGGATTTCACTGTGCTGTCGCCCACAAACTTGGGTACAAGGGAGAAGAGAAAATCCTGGAACTAGAAGACATCAACCTCTGCTTGAAAGCAGCTATTTGGAGGGTGTTTCGTTGTGTGAAGGTGTATGAAAATGTGTCTGGGTTGTGATACGCAATTCTCGCTAGATATAGGAGGCAGTGAATTGACCCCAACATGTTTCCCCCGTCCCTGTATAAATAGTCACATCCTTCTCTCCACTTCGCATACGCCTGCTTTCTACTTTTTGATTCCTGAAACACTACAAATTCAAACCAATTTCTCCTGATAGCTTGCTAATTTGTTACCGTCAGCTGTGTATAGGTGCAGCTGGAGGAAAAGATATTAACCTCCACTGGATAAATGGCTAGGACATATTTTCTAACGACACCTTAAGGAGAAAGGGGACGAGGTCTTCACATTGGCATCTACAGAAACTCAGCGTTGGTGTATACGCGAGAGCTACTCCTCCAGGTAGGTGGTGTGGAGGGTTTTCTAACCGTTTTGTGTCTTCCGTATAGGTGCCTGTGGTGATACACCATTCCTTCAAGTCTTTGGGGTTGTTTTGGGGTTTTTTGTTTGGTTGTTTGCTTTTTGTTTTGGTTTTTTTCCTTCAAAATAAGAGAGCCAAGGTTTTAATATACAGGTGAGATGCAACTTTGTTTTGGTTTTTTCCTTCAAAATAAAAGACCCAAGGTTTTAATATACAGGTGAGATGCAACGGCTTTTCGTGAGGATAGGATCTATCTGTTTTCTCTTTTCTTGTTCAAGCAACAGTAACCACAGTCGACATTTGCCAGAAATTGTTCTTAAAGTTTGAGACCCGCTGCAGTAACAGACGGCTTAGGAGATGAGGCCGTGGTTTGTCAAAGACACAGACAAAAGGAATTCAGTGTTGGGTTGTATGGCACTGATACGGTGATGCCGGGTTTTGCATGTCGAAAAATATGGGATCCGGTGGTGGTGTGCCTGCTGTGGTTTCCTCAGTGGCTGGGGTTCCCGGCTCTGCTCGTCCATCAGCGACCTCCGTTCAAAGTGGAAAAGATGAGTGCTAGATCGGCATCGATCAATTATCGAAAATAAAACCACTATCTACGAGCTGCATTCGTTCCCGTCCTGCCGTTTCTCTCACAGTGGGGGACACGGCCGAGCCCTCACATTAGAGACCAGTGAGATCACTGTGGGGCAGAGACAGTGTTCCTGCCCCACATCCTCAGAGCAACGGGGGAGGGTTTTACTTGCAGAATACTTGCAAATTTAAGAAATTCTGACAATGGGAATTCCTAGATGCACCGTTTCGACACAGATACAAGTTTTCTGTTTCGCGCTACTGATAACGGCTGCACTTTACATACCCTTGTGTGAGCGCGATTTAAGGACGTGCACAGCAGGACCTTCAGACTGTTGTTCTCTTCTCGGACGCTGCTGTTCCCAGGCACGGACTCAGGGTGTCGCTGTTGGCCAAGGCGGAGAAGCTGCTTCGCCACCGCCTCCACCCCGGCCTCGGCGCCCGCGCAGCGTCACTCCAGGCGGAGCAGAGCAGAGAGAGAAGAGCAGGAACTGCCCGATTCATCCTGTCCTCCGACCAGCAATATATTTATTTCTCTCAGGTGCGGATTCAGCTGCTCGGAAAGCCTAATTTAAAATCGTCTGTAGAATAGGCGTCATCACGGTAGAGAATGGATGTCCGACCGGCAGCGCAGGGCCGATCAGCCGCCGGGCGGGTCGCGCTGTTGGCCGTGCTGCTGGGCTTGTGCTGCCGGGCGGCGGAGTCGTCGCTACGCCATCCCCGAGGAGCTGGGCAGAGGGTCGCTGGTGGGGCCGCTGGCGCGGGACCTGGGGCTGAGCCCGGCGGAGCTGCCGGCGCGCAAGCTGCGGATAGTGTCTGGTGACGAAAAGCAATACTTCACCCTCGGGGAAGATAATACAAATCTACGGGTAAACGGGAGGATCGACCGAGAGGGGATCTGCGGGGCCGTGTCGCCCTGTGTCCTCAGTTTGGAGGCAGTCGTGGAAAATCCTTTCAATATATTTCATGTGAGCGTTACTATCGAGGATATCAATGACAACGCGCCGCAGTTTGACAGAGAATTTGTTGCCATAGAAATGATCGAGTCCACTCCTCCTGGGGCCAGGTTCCCACTGGGCAATGGCAAAGACCCTGACATTGGTGTGAACTCATTACAAAACTACCAACTAACCCCAAACCCGCTCTTCTCCCTTGTAGTGAGGGAGAGTCCTGATGGGACGAAACATGCGGAACTGGTATTGGAGAAGAGCTTAGATCGAGAAAAACAGAGAAATCACCAATTAGTACTGACAGCGGTGGATGGCGGGGATCCAGTACGATCCGGGACTGCACAGATTAAGATTAACGTGACCGACGCAAATGACAACCCTCCGGTGTTCACCAACGAGATCTACAAGGTTCGACTGTTGGAAAACCTGCCAGAAGGCACCATAGCTTTTCAGGTGAAAGCTACTGACCGCGACGAAGGCATTAATGCCGAAATTACCTACTCGTTCAGTGACATCACAAACAGTGCTCGCCAGCTCTTCACTCTGAACTCCAGGTCAGGGGACGTAAAGATAACAGGTCCCTTAGACTATGAGGAAGGGAAATATTACGAAGCGAGTGTTGAAGGCAAGGACGGGGGCGGGCTGAGTGCGCACGCCAAAGTGCAAATAGACATTCTAGACGTGAATGACAATGCGCCAGCCCTTTCCCTCCTGCCTATCCTGAACCCGATACCCGAAGACTCGATCCCAAGCACAGTTGTAGCTGTGATAAATGTCCGTGACAGAGACTCGGGCGATAACGGAGAAGTGAGCTGCAACATCGACGGCGATCTGCCTTTCAGACTAGAACCGTCATCACAGAACACCTATAAACTAATAATAGCCAGTGGCCTGGACAGAGAAAAAGTCTCCGCTTACAATATCACCATCACTGCCAGGGACCGGG